GATTCAGGAATGAAACATTGACACTATTAGTATTAAAGTGGTCTTAATTATATTTTGCAGTTAGTGCTGAGGAAAAATCCACATCTGTCTTTGGTACCACTTTTCCAGGCTATCTAAATGCAGACAGAGATAACTGCATCCTAATTTTCTTCTACATTTCCTTGAAACTACAACATCCTATACTCGTTTTTTATCAGTTTGACAACATTAATTTCACTTTCTTTTTTTTTTAAGTTCTGCTGTCAGTATGTCAATTCTACTAAAAACAGGACGCCTGACTTGAAGTATAGGAGACGTAGACTGTTGCCTATCACAATGAGAGGATAAGGGGGCAGGAAAATGTTTTAAAAGTTATTATTTGCTATCAGGAATTGTTTATTTTTACAACTAGTACACCAGTGAGAGTCATGCCTCTACTTTCCTTAGTATTCTATTGGAGAGTGAAGGAGTCAGCAGAGGTAAATAAAATATTCATCTAATGCAGATAAAAACACAGAACTGTTTGTGTACACATTATGCCCTCTGTGTCACTATGCACTCTTCAAATGAAGCCTCCTATCACTACACTGTTTATTTCCATGCTGCAGCATCTATTTTGATTATAAACTACAAGTATCTTGAGGCATAGTTTTTTGTCCTTAGTACAGTAATGAAGGACACTGGTGATCTTGATGCTCTGTAATTAAATGCCAAGTATTTAGCTGCTTGATTTATAGCCTGTGTTTGTTTTATGCATTCTTTACATCTATAGCCAAGATTTTTGGGACTGACCAGAAATAATTCTGTTTTAGTTTGTAAATATTAATTCAGAATATTACATTGTAACTCTGTAGTTCTTCTAGTTGTTACATCTTGGTGTCAGTTGTCACTTGAGGTTTTTACCATCCAGTTACAGTGTATCTCTATAACCTTCTGGTGATTTCAAGAGCAGTTTCACTGCCACTGAAAAGGAAATTATTGACAATTCATAACCTGTTATAGTTCCTGCTCCACCTGCCATTTTCTAACTCCCTAGACTATTGTGAACTTAAAGAAGACTGCTTTTAAAAAATCTTTTACCATCTGCTGTATACTGCTTAATGTTTGATATCCTGTTAGGGCTTTTTGAACCAATTTTTGCAGTCTAGTTCTATTTGCATTTTCCAAACTGAGCCAAGAGACAATTAGACAGCAGACAATTTGTTGAGCCTCAATCCTTCCCTACTGAGCTAGGAATGTTATGCTTAAGTATTCCAGGTATCCAGGGAGGCTTTTCTTCTTTCTAGTCATTGTCTGCCATTATCCAGGTCTTTGCTGCATAATTCTGACATTTTGAAAAACTGGATTTGCACCATACTTAAAACTGTGTCCCCTAGTATTCATTCCTTTTTCTGTAAAACCATTCCTTTTTCTGTAAAACCATGTTCTCTGAGTGTGCTACTATTTGTCTTAATTTTGTAACTACAAGAACTCTTTCCCTATAGTGCCAAATTTATTTTCCCTTGGACTTGGAATCTCAGACTAGCCATATGCAGTATTATTGCATGAAGTAAAGTGGTTGTTCCTACCACCCCCAATTCATCCAAGTAATAATAGAATAATGTCATACTGCACTATCTTTCATTCCAAAGTGTCCTGCTGGATACACATCACAACAGTCAAGACACCCTAGTGATCTGATTTACAAGCGGGGATGGTTTAAGTTGAGGCAGTTTCAGTGTTTCGCACCCCTTTTTTTCTTGCTTCTCTTAGAGATTCCTACTCTGACTACAGAGCTGGCTCCACTTCTCACAAAGCAGTAGTTGAACTGCTAAAGTTTATTACACAAATGCCAAGCTCTTATTTGCAATTCTGTAGCTGTTACATCAGAGTCTGAACTGTTCCTGCAGTGTGGGTAGGGAACTACTGCAGCCATTCCAATATAAGATATCCCATCCTTGATCATGAGTCAGTCCAAGCCTTTCCTGGTGAAGAAGAGTGTCAGCTAACACATTTCAACCAGCAAGAGAGCATAAATTTTCTTGAGGAAAGGCCACATAGATAAAGCAGAATTTGGTTTTTTATAGTACCTCATAAAGGATCACTGCTGAATATACTGCATGGAATCTTTTTGGAAATTTGAAACCTGACTCGATTATACTAGGTTTATATTACCCAGTGCCAGAAAATTTGAAAGACTCCGAGGCATATATAAATTAACAGGACACTATTCAGTTAAATATCAAGACACAACCTTCTATATTTTCTAATATTGATGTGTGGGTTTTCTACATGTAGGTCACCTATTTTACTTGAGTTCTGTTTGAGCACAGTAGAAATAGATCATTACCTTGACTCTGGGACTGACACTCCAAAACTTTTACAGGAGCAGAACTAAATACAAGAAAATACAACTTCCAGTATGATACTTTCATTCCTCACCATCCCAAACTGATGAACAGTCACTGTAAGGCTGGGAACTAGCTTTCTTTCTGTGAACCTACAGACCTTTGGTTATCCTGGTGTATGCATATGGTATATGCTCTGCATTTAACACAAAGGTGCTAGCCTATAAACAAAAACAACTATATAATATATAAAACCAGGAGAAAACAACAAAAACAAATAAACAATCAATTGACTAAACAAACAAACAAACAAAACCACCACCAAAACAAGGAAATAAAAAACAAAATAAATAAACTTACCATGGAAAATAACAAATTTACCATGGCAAACCAGCAATCAAAATATAAAGTGTCTGTTCAGGGGATGCTGTCAGGCTTGCAACGGGGAATACGAAAACTGTACCCTGTTTGTTCTGAGTAAACTCAAGGATCATATTTATGTAATCATTGCAGATCAGTGGATTTTTTTGTTTTTTAAAACCCCGTGATTCATGCGGCCAACTTCACATACAGATAGAGAGATGTCAATGAGACCCAGAATACTGGCTAGTCATTTTGGTTAGAAATGTATTGCCTAGTTAAGAGCTGTATCAATGGAATTTACAGATTGTGACATGAATCACATAACAAGAGACAAAATTAATTTTGTGTTGTCCTAAACAATTTCAATTGGCCTAAACCAAAACATGTCAGGATTCTTCCATTTTAATGATTTTTTAAATTAAAAATGGACCAATTTTTAAGGGAAAACACTAAGATAAAAAAATCCATTTTTAAAATACTGAGTATATTAAAAACCCCAATGAGTGGGAGATTTTTAATATATTCAAAATTATAAACCATACCTTTCCTTTGTCTTTTTTCCAACTGATTTTTTTAAATGAAATTACTTATTCAATTCAGCTTACATTTATGAACAATCCTGTCATCCCCAAAATCATCTCAATGAGCTGCATTCAACCAGCTTCTCACCTGCTCTGAGCTGGGTTAGATTAAAATGCTGGAAGTCAGCTATAAATCTCAACCATTGCACAATGATGGAAATGTTTTTGGCAAGCGGTGATAGTGTAGACATCGCCAATAAGTGCTTCAAACTGGACGCTTTGTCTCTTAAACCCCATTAACACTCATCAGGATTTGATATTTATTTAGCAGCATTTCTTTCTTTCCAAAGTACCCGATCCAAAGCAAAGGAATATTTGCTTGACTTCTTTCTGATCAGGCCTCAACCTCCTGCTTTCTTTTGGAAAAATAGAAAAGCAGTACAAAAACAGTGTAAAGTTTCTAATTTTTTTTCCTAGCCTTGCTTTGTTCTGACTTTCTTTTTGTGTGTGTGTGTGTGGTTTTTTTGGTTTTTTTTTGTTTTTTTTTTTTTT